GGCCATGAAGATGATCAAAGGGATGGACAACCTGCATGTTGAGGTAAGACTGAAGGAGTTAGGTCTTTTCTCCTTGGAGAAAAGAAGGCTCGGGGGGACCTCATCACAGTATTCCAGTACTTAAAGGGCTGCTATAAAGAGGATGGAGGCTGTCTCTTCACAAGGACCTACATAGAGAAGACAAGGGGAACAGGTAAAAGTTGCACCAGGAGAGGTTTCATCTTGGTACAAGAAAGAAATTTTTTACAGTGAGAAAAATCATTCACTGGAACAACCTTACCAGGGAGTGGTAGAGTCCCCATCACTGGAAGTTTATAAGATGCAAAAGACAGGGTGAGAGATAATAGATAATCAGCTCGCTTTCCCATGAAAGGTTGGACCAGATGGTTGTTTAAGGTTCCCTCCAGCCTGGGATGTTGATTTTATGATTCTATGAGCCTATGAGCTGCTCTGCATTCCCTTCTGGAAGGTATCTCACACTTGCCATTGATAATGGAGAGGGTCTAGGCAGAGTCATCTTGGCAAATGTAATCTCAAATTATCAGCATAGTCAGTTCCTGCCCCGTTCTGGTTGCTATTTAGCCTTGTAGTTGCAAGACACAGTTCTTTAGCTGCAATGATGCACAGATGCTGAAAAGGACACCAACTTTATTTGCTAGACACCAAATAAAGTAACTGAATTTAACTTCCAAACTGCACCTTTTTTGCATTTCATTCAGGAATCACCTGACTTGAACTCTCTCCCTTCTCTCACCACCCCATTTTAACACCTGGTTTTCAAATAGAAATACTTAAATGAAGCAGAGGAACTTGGGTATTTTTCCTCTATAAATAAAAACTCCCACAACTAAGCATTTAAGTTTCATTACCTGGCCTCTGAGTTCCAGATACACTAAATGTAGCTGGAAGTGAGATGACCGTGCATCAGTGAAACAAGCCTTGTCCTTTGAAATATAGGTTGTAGTTTTCATTTTGGGATGTTAATTGTCCTGTAGTACCAGCACTCCATATCGAAAAGTCAATAATCAAACAGTGGTTAGATACAGTAAATAGTCACAAAAGCTGCAGCACAGAAATTTTTGTACATTTTCAAAAGCAAAATAAGAGAATTAGACAAGAAATGCATTATGAACATGGTAGAAAAAAATGGCTCAAGGAGCACTGCACACTTGTTTTTCTTTGAATTATGTATTGTTTTTAATAACATAGCCTTTCTAGCTCCAAAATATATTTCACAGTGAAAAATCAAACGAAACACTGTTACACTCAATTGATATTTACACACACTTAGAAGCAAACCACCCATTGGTTTCTTCCATCCTGAAACAAATAGAAATGAGTGCCACCGTGAATGGTGGCCGTGCATGTCCAACATCTTCAGCTTACATTCAACATAAAGATTTCTTGAGCACTAATTTGTGTGATGGCATCAGTCTGGTTTAGATAATTATGTACACCTGAAGTATGATCTTTCCAGTAGCGCTGAGAAAGTTCAAGTGACTAAGGAAAGCCACATTTGGAAGTGCATCAACACCGCCAATAAAAGAATCATAATAGAAGGGGGCTGCTTGTATAATATATTATATATTAAATATTTCAAGAGATACCATTTCTTCTAGTAAATTCAGTGCTGAGGAAAGGTACCAAAAACTTCAGTTTGTCCACTGAACAAGAAAAAGAGGGACTGCAACAGAAATTTCCCCTCCACTGCCTTCTAACTTGTCTTGTTCCTGAGCATTAGCTCTAGGAATTTAAGGGGCAAGTCCAAGTTTTCACGACTATTCAATCCTTCACCTCTATTGCTGAGACCACCAAAACCTACTAGTAATAGTAATGTGCTGAGGCCAAATCCCAAGCCAAAGTGAAGTGGCTTTGTTCTAACAATAACAACAGCTTTCTGTATTGTTTTTAACTTAGCTGAGGACCTGGTCTCCAGTGTGCATGACTGGAGGGTGGTTTTGGTGATGTGGACACTTGCCCACGAGGCACTGGACTGAGATCCACCAACTCAAATTGCAGAGCACTGTTGGACAGCCAGGAAAACAACAGAATCCAAAAGTAAACTCAGAAAAAAAGCCTCGAAAAAACCCCAACAACAACAACAAAAAAACCCAACCCAAACCAAAAAAAGAATAAAACAAAGATCCAAACACCTTCTCGCTCCAGACTGAAACATGGCAAAAAGTCTTCAACTAGAGGCAGTTATTCAATACCTTTTTCTCAAAAGTTCTGATTTATTGATGCTTGAAATTTGGCTGCTAGCCATTCATGCAAAATATACTTTTTGACCTCTTTTAAATCGTACACTTAGACTATCGTCAATGTAATACCTTGTGAAAGCCCATATTACAGAAATTACAAAACTAAGTGTTGTCTGTTCATCTAACATCTGATAGTCTCATTTAAAAAATGTCCAAATATGCGTCTACCTGATAGATCTGACTTTCCCCATCTCCCATGTCTTTTTGTTCTGCAAAGTGCATGTCTCCTTGGGAAGCTTTCTAAAATAGCTTTTAGCAGCATCTAATGAGAGAGGAAGCTCAAATCTATCTGTTAAAAATAGTGACTTTTGCAGACAGTCTGGTACAGGGGGACAAATTCTGCTCTCAGAGCAGCAAATCAACGCTGCAGACTTGAAAAAAGGTGTCTGGATCATTTAACTTGCACTTAAAATACTGGAGTACAATGAAAGAAATTTAAAACTTTTTGCTGGTCCTCTGTGCAAGGGTAGATTTCACCTGAAAGGGGTGTAAGCTTCTCATAAGAGCATGAGCCTGTAAAAATATGAAGTCAATCTCAACATTTCTGTCTGCTTCAAATTATTTTTACATTCATTTACACTGCTACAACTGAAAACAGATTATGTCCCATAAAGCACTATATGTGTTAAGTATTATAATCAGTATCTCTGTCACAACTTTCTGAGACCTTTTTTTCTCCTTTTAAAAATAAGGAAAATAGCATTATTTTTAAAAACCTATGCTTAAAATGACATTAAAACTTTTTTTTTTTTTTACCTAAACTAACAAAAACCAGTGAAATTAAAAGCTCACACTCAGCTGACACTAAAATTCTGAGTCTTCCACTTTTTTTCTTAGTTCACGATCATGTCAACTAACACCAAAGAACAAGCCTGAATTTTGAATTTCCTGGTTACTATTAGTTTCAGTTCAAAACTTCACATTTAAAATGTCATTTTTGTTTTTGCTTTTTAATATATGCATACACATACACGCACATATATATATATTTCTATATATATATATCAGTTCATAAATCCAAAATGAAGTGAGTGCTAGGATGGTCCTCAAAGCCTTTATACGCTGTATAAAGACTTTTAAGAATTGACATCGTCAACATTTGATTGAAGTAGATATGTACCAGTCGTGGCTTTAACTACAAGGCAAAGGTTGAATGAACATTTTAGTTCCTCTCAAAGAAAAGCAGTAAGATCATTGATGGTTAAACAAACAGAATATCCAAAGAGAGAGAAAACTGCCAGGTGTGGGAAGTCATCCAAAGTCTTTCTCTTTTCCTTCCATGCCATCTTATTGTTCAGTTTAGTTGCTCCCCAAATGTAGATGACTTTTACCTTCCAGGGTGATCCTGCCAGATCCCTCTTGTGCATCTTGCTCTGGCAGGGAAGAGTCAACACACAGAAGTCAACCAGCTTCAAAGGCACCACACTCTGTGTGACAGTGCTACCCAAGAACGTGCCATGTTTGGACATGGACGCAGAGGGTTCAAGGTTATCTGGAGGAAAGGCCATCCTGGAATTGACTTTTGCTCTTGAGGTGGGAGGGAGGGGACAGTTATTTTTATTATTCAAAGAATCCAATCAATCAATCAATCTACCAATCGATAAGTCAATGCCAAAAATATAGATATATCTCAACTGTATGGCCCTTTTAGAAAATTCACAGCTTAGCTAGAACATAAAGCATTCTCAGAAGTGTCCCTGGGTACAGAAAAGGACAGCTGATCCCGTCTGTCTTGCCTGGAGTCCCCCCAGTGAGTAATGGCAGCTATGTAGCTTCACATTGGCACAGCAGTTTTTTAAGTCCACTGGGTACGTCTGACTAAATCCAGCCACAAACTTAATTTTCTGGAGTTCTTCCTGAACCGGCTGGTTTGATTAACCCAAGCATAGTAGCTCCATCTTAAGACTCAAAAAAGAAACACTGCAGAAATTCACATGCCAAAAGACAGGGACAGGCTAAGATACGTTTGACTACAAAAAAAAAAAAAAAAAAAAAGGCAAATCCAAACCAAAAGGAAAAACAATTTGAGAAATAACAATGATCATGTCCATTCACAGATTAGTATCAGTTTGGCAACCAAGGTTCACAACTGCACAGCAATCACTTATTACTTTTGACTGACAACGGATTACTTGCAGATGCTCTGAAATGTAAATCATTGAGTGGGTGGGCTTGGCCTGTTGTTTAACTTTTAAACATTTTTCCATTAATGGCCTTGAGTACAGTTGGGTATTTACAGTGATTGTTAAAAAGATATATATACACATTTCCTTTGCTTTTTCACCTTTACAAACAAGGAAGTAAAGGAAAGGAAAGGAAAGGAAAGGAAAGGAAAGGAAAGGAAAGGAAAGGAAAGGAAAGGAAAGGAAAGGAAAGGAAAGGAAAGGAAAGGAAAGGAAAGGAAAGGAAAGGAAAGGAAAGGAAAGGAAAGGAAAGGAAAGGAAAGGAAAGGAAAGGAAAGGAAAGGAAAGGAAAGGAAAGGAAAGGAAAGGAAAGGAAAGGAAAGGAAAGGAAAGGAAAGGAAAGGAAAGGAAAGGAAAGGAAAGGAAAGGAAAGGAAAGGAAAGGAAAGGAAAGGAAAGGAAAGGAAAGGAAAGGAAAGGAAAGGAAAGGAAAGGAAAGGAAAGGAAAGGAAAGGAAAAAGGGACCTACACCACCACCAAAATTATGATTATTATTTTTTCTTTTTAAAGGGACATTTTTTGGTTTGGTTGTTGATTGATTTGTTTTCCTTAGCTGCTCATGTCGCTAGGTTCTCCGCATTTATGCTGGACATCCGAATCTGAGAGCTGCTCTTGCTCAGAATGGAGAGTTGTGTCCCCCCGTTCACTCCGCTGCTCGCTAGAGAAGGATGACGATGTTTGAAATCCACAGCAAAATACCGGTTGACTTTCCAGCTCCTCCATTTTCTCTTTATTTCTGATTGCACCTTTAGGGAGAAACTTCAAAAGGTCATTTTTTATGTACTTAGCCGCTCGAGGACATGCTGACAAATTATCAAGTTTAGAAAATAAACCCACAATTTCACAGAACAATTTTTAAGACTATTATTAAGCTCTTCACTTCTAGGAAATCTGAAGTGTCTTCTCCATGTCTGAAAGAGGTCCAGGCATGTAGTGGGAGAAACAGCCCGGGTTCTGTGTCTCTGACTTCAGAGAATTTAGGATCACCCCAGAGGTGCATAGAAGACCTGTTCAACACTAACTCCAACATGGTTCTTTAGTTAGCTTGTTGGAAAAAAATATCCCGTTTTCATCAATGGCCAGTGCCAAATACATAAAAAGGAGCCAAAGAAACCAGCAACCAAAAGGTGTTAGACAGTAATGAAATAGCCCGTCCACAAAGGCAGTTTGTCTCTCACCTGCCATTAATGGATTCAGGATGTCTCCTGAAAACTTTACCTTCTACTTCCAGATCACGTCTAAGCAGATGATGGCTTGGGTTCATATACATCTATGACACCCTCTTTTCCCTTGACCTTTTTTTCATGGGCACTCGCAGTAAATCACCAACAGTAAAACAATCCATGGTCAGAAGTCCAATTAGAAAATAAGCAAATAATTCTATAGCTTTTCTACCTTCTGTTTATTGCTGATTACCCGGCAATCTTGCTAGGTATATGAACATGTGTGTACGTATATACATAAGACCGTAAGGATTTAAAATAAGAATGATCGTACTTTCTCAGACCATCACTTATTTGGTCTGTTATTTCTGACAGTAGCCTGTAGCATATTTCTGAATGAAGTAGTGTAAGAACAAGGAAACATGGAGACATATTTTCCCTATATACTTTTCCAGTCTCCAGTGAGCTTCTGCGTCAAAGGTGTTCTTGTCTTTAGCAGTCATTGCTAGATTTTCCTAGACTAATACAATTGTTGAAATGGACCAGCATACTCCAAAATGCTAAACAAGTGCTTCAACTGCATGGACACTACCTACAGGAAGAAAAAATCTAACTGAAAAACTTGCATTCTCTTTCTAGTACCTCTGAATTTCTGTTTTAGTTAAAATAAAGATAGGTATTGATTAGATAGAGTATGGAGGTATATTACCTCTGCAAAAAGAAAATAGTATTTACATTTGTAACAGTGTAATATAACAAAGGTGAACCCTTTCCTACCCAAAGTAATTTAGTGGAGGCACAAGACATTCACTAACTTCTTGAGAGGTAAAATGGTTTTAATTAATCTGGTTGTTAGTTTGGCTAAGAACCATCCCCTCCCTGCCTCCAAGGGGTCACAGGAAATCTGACATACTCTGCGTGTTACCTTGGAAGGTGCTTATCTCCAGAGTAGTTTTAGACAAGACCTTCTGGATTTTCTTTTAGCACTTGTGGAAGATAATAGATGAAACAACAGTTGCAGGAGGGAGAAGTGGATATCCAGTAATGCCAGCTGGTTAAATATGAATGCAGCCACTAATTGCAGCAAGGCATGATCCAGAATTCACCTTCTGAGCTACATGGGACTGAAGCACAAATAATGCTTTAAAATTTACCTATGAGGTGTTTAACACTGACCTTAACTAAGCTCATAAGCAAAAAAATTACCTGTAAGATTGTTTAATCAACTTGAAGACATTTTAATGGTTATCTGAGAAGGAATCACTTGGATCAAGTAGTTAGAGACCTTTTGTACCAGACCAGCTACTGCACGCTGTATGTGAACAAGCATAGAACACCTACTGCACTAAAACTGGTAGAAATAGATGGTCTCATCCTCCTTCACAAAACAAAAAGGTGATTGTAGGAGAAGTTTCCTATTGGACTGCACAACAGATGTATATCAGTGGAGGAGAGAGTTGATGAACTGTAGATATTCCTCTTAAGGCAGCCTTGAGGAGGGAGTCTTTTCATTAATTGAGAAAATTACTATCTCAGGTATTCAGTCTGATAAACAAAGCCAGGGGAATTTTGATTTGGAGATCAGAATGGGTGAACCAGAAAAAAACCAAAGGTGGGAACCTGACACTAGCAGCAGCAGCCGCAGTTGCCTTGTGCTGAGAGGAGTGTGAGGCTTACAAGGCACCCAAGGGTGCCTGGGGAGGTTTCTGGCCATCTGATACCCTTGGGCTGTATGTGTGGAGGGACCGGCCAGGAGGCATCAGGTCTCACGAGAGGACTAGGCAACAGTCGGGTGGTTCTGGCTGTCCCCATGGCCAGGTCAAACCATGGGAAGCTGCATATAATTGGCTTCTGGGGAACGCCCCACCAGGAGTGCAAACAGGGCATGGTGTCTGTTGGGAGCAGCATCAGCAACAGGACGTGGCATCTGTTGGGATCCGCACTTTGTGTGACAGTTCACATAGGAAGGGCCACTCACTCCCTCAGCTGTTGGGCTGCCGCCTGCTCTGCTCACCTGCAGCTCCAACCACTCCATCACTCCAACCAGCTGGTGGCTCTGCAAGCCTACCAAGCACCTTGAGGTCTCCAGGGAATTAGAAGGGTTTATTAGGCAGTGCTTTGAGGTTATTGGAAGCATGGTGGCAGAGACCAGGCAAGGGCTGTGCTCTGCAGCAGACAGGAGTCAGCTACGTAGCTGGGCTAGCCCAGGGAGGGTGGACGCAGCCACCCAGACAGAGCTGCCTACCAGGGAAGGTGCCATTCAGGTGGAGGGATGCAAAGACTGCAACCCTGCCTTCTGGGTGGAGAAGGGTGGAAGCTGCACCCTGGTCAAGGTGGAGTTCTGGTGGAGTCATTCAGGCAGCAGATGGAGGAGCTGCAGGAGGAAGTTAGCAGGCTACACTATATTAGATAGCGTGAACAACAAATTGATAGAGTATTGTTTGAAATTTTGCAAGAAGAAATATTAGGGTCCTGTGGCGCTGACCTCCAAGGACTGTCAGACAGCGAACAGACAGCGCCTTGGAGAAGGAGACGCTGCGGTCTCTGGTGACCCATGGAAACAGGTTATCACTTCACTCTCCTTCTCCTTATGTACCAGCCAGCAACACATATTAAGCATTATCAGCAGACAAAACCAATGAGCAATATTCACAGGGAGAAACTGCACTAGTGACACATACTGAAAGCTGCAAAAAGAAGTGGTGAGTGTTGGTAGTGGATGACTCTGCAGAGAGGCACTGAGGCACCCAGCTGCCTGCTTGATATACAGTCAAATGAACTTTGCTGCTTGCCAGGAGCCAAGACCCAGGGTGTCACAGAGAGATTGCCACAAATAGTTCAAAGCACAGATTGCTATCACCTCCTTCTTTTCCATGTGGGCACCAATGACACGGTAAAGGAAACCCTGGGCAAGTTCAAGAAGGATTTCAGAGCCCTGGAGGCTCAAGTGAAAGGGACAGATGCCCAAATGATATTTTCTTCTGTCTTGCTGGTCAGAGATAGGGGTGTAGACTGAAGCCGATGCATCCTGCAGATCTATACCTGGTGTTGTGGCTGGTGTCAGTGCCAGGGTTTTGTTTTCTACAATCATAGGACATTCTTCAACAAATACAGACTACCAGGGAGAATAGGGATACACCTACCTAGAACATGCAGGAAAATCTTCACGAGCAGATTGGCTTAGTGAATTGTGCCTTAAACTAATGAACTTGGAGGGTAGTGTCCAAAGCTGTGACATCTGCATGTTCATAAGCAGCAAGTTGGATGAGTTCGCCCACCAGAGTACTGAGGAATGCTCTCCCAAACCTCTCCAAAGGCAAGAACCCCAAGTCAAGTCACATTAAGATTGTGTATACCAATGTGTGTAGTCTAGGTAGGAAACAGGAGAAACTGGAGCTCTGTGCCCAGTCAGAGAGTTATGATATTATAGAAAACTCAGAAACTTGGTGAGAATACTCTACACTTTATGTAAAAAAAAAACTTGAGTGTATGGAGGTGAGTTGTGGAGACCACAGAAGTTCTATCGAATACCTTTGGATCAAGATTAGAGGAACTGTCATCAAGGATGATCTTTTGTTAGGTATGTGTTCCTGACCTCCCAGTCAGGATGACAATGCTGATGAATCTTTACTTCAGGTGCTTAAGGAAGTCTCAGGCCAACAGAACCTGGTGCTCATGGGTGACTTGAATTACCCAGGCATTTGCTGGGAAAACAACACAGTGGTACACAAGTCCTCTGTCAGGTTCCTGGAGTATATTCTTGCTCCAGATGCTGGATGTGCCGACTAGGAACAGTGCATTGCTGTTGGGTAAGGATCAAGGGGCAGGGTAATATGAGAGACACAGTTGTGGGTGTCTATTACAGGCCACCTGATCAGGATGAGGAAGTTGATGAGGCCTTCTACAGACAGGTGAGAATCGCCTCACAATCACAGGCCTTGATTCTCATGGCGGACTTCAACTACCCTGATATCTGCTGGGAAGGCCACACAGCCGGGCATGTACAGTCCAGGAGGTTCCTCCAGTGCATTGATGACAACTTTTTGACTCAGGTGGTGGAGGAGCCTACAAGGAGAGGTGCTTTACTGGACCTGATACTGACAAACAAAGAGGGACTGGTGGAGGATGTAAAGGTTGGGGGCAGACTGGGCTGCAGCGATCATGAGAAGACAGAGTTCAGTATTAAGTGTAGAATAGACAAAATGACAAGTAGAGTTGAAACCCTAAACTTCAGGAGGGCTAAATTTGATCGTTTCAAAGAATTGCTTGGGCAAATCCCATGGGAAAGGGCTCTAGAGGGTAAGGGGGCTCTAGAGAGCTGGCTGCTATTTAAGCGTCACCTCCTCCAAGCTCAGGATCAGTGCATCCCAAAGAGCAAGAAATCAGGCAAGGGGAGAAGGAGACCTGCATGGCTGAGCAGGGACCTTCTGAAAAGGCTCAGGTGGAAGAAGGGAGTTTACAATAGGTGGAAGAAGGGGCTGACTGCTTGGGAGGAATACAAGAATGCTGTCAGGGTATGCAGGGAGGAAACAAGGAAAGCCAAGGCAGCCTTGGAATTGAACCTGGCGAGGGATGTCAAGGCCAACAGGAAGGGTTTCTTTAAGTATATAGGAGACAAAAGGAAAACTAGGGAAAATGTGGGCCTGTTGTTGAATGAGACAGGTGCTGTGGTGACGGATGATGCAGAGAAGGCGGAGTTGCTAAATGCCTTCTTTGCTTCTGTCTTCACTGTTCGGGCCAGTCCTTGTGAGACCCAGACTTTGCAGGTAACAGACAAAGTCTGGGCAAAGCAAGACTATCCCTTGGTTGACGAGGAGCACGTTAAAGATCAGTTAGATAAACTGGATATACACAAATCCATGGGGCCTGATAGGATGCACCCTCGGGTGCTGAGGGAGCTGGGGGAAGTCATTGCTGGGCCTCTCTCCATCATCTTTGAAAGGTCCTGGAGGACAGGTGAGGTGCCTGAGGACGGGAGGATAGCCAATGTCACTCCAGTCTTCAAAAAGGGCAGGAAGGATGACCCGGGAAACTACAGGCCGGTCAGCCTCACCTCCATCCCTGGAAAGATGATGGAGCAGCTTGTTCTGGGAGTCATCTCAAAGCACCTGGATGAAAAGAAGATTATCAGAAGTAGTCAACATGGATTCACCAAGGGGAAGTCATGTCTGACTAATCTGATAGCCTTCTATGACGAAGTAACTAGAAGGGTGGATGAGGGGAGGGCAGTGGATGTTGTCTACCTTGACTTTGGCAAGGCTTTCGACACTGTCTCCCACATCATCCTCACAGGCAAGCTTAGGAAGTGTGGGTGAGATGAATGGACAGTGAGGTGGATTGAGAACTGGCTGACAGATAGAGCTCAGAGGGTTGTGGTTAGTGGTGCAGAGTCAAGTTGGAGGTTAGTAACAAGTGGTGTCCCTCAGGTGTCAGTACTGGGCCCAGTCTTGTTCAACATATTCATTGATGATCTGGATGAAGGGATAGAGGGTACCATCAGCAAGTTTGCTGATGACACAAAACTGGGAGGAGTGGCTGACATGCCAGAAGGCTGTGCCGCCATACAGCGAGACCTGGACAGGCTGGAGAGTTGGGCAGAGAGAAACCTGATGAAATTCAACAAGGGTAAGTGTAGGGTGCTGCATCTGGGGAGGAATAACCCCATGCACCAGTACAGGTTGGGGGCTGACCTCCTGGAGAGCAGCTCTGAGGAAAGGGACCTGGGAGTCCTGGTGGACAACAGGATGACCATGAGCCAGCAATGTGCCCTGGCGGCCAAGAAGGCGAATGGCATCCTGGGGTGCATCAAGAAGAGTGTGGCCAGCAGGTCGAGGGAGGTCATCCTCCCCCTCTACTCTGCCCTGGTGAGGCCGCATCTGGAGTACTGCATCCAGTTCTGGGCTCCCCAGTTCAAGAAGGACAGGGAACTGCTGGAGAGGGTGCAGCAAAGGGCAACAAAGATGATTAGGGGACTGGAACATCGCTCCTCTGGAGAAAGGCTTAGGGACTTGGGTCTCTTTAGTCTAGAGAAAAGAAGATTGAGGGGGGATCTTATTAATACTTACAAATACTTAAAGGGAGGATGCCAGGGGGATGGGAGCAGTCTTTTTTTCAGTGGTGCCCAGTGATAGGACGAGGGGTAATGGGCATAAACTTGAACATAGGAAGTTCCATCTTAACATGAGAAGGAACTTCTTTACTTTGAGGGTAGTGGAGCACTGGAACAGGCTGCCCGGAGAGGTGGTGGAGTCTCCCACTCTGGAGACATTCAAAACCCGCCTGGGCACCGTCCTGTGCAACCTGCTGTAGGTGACCCTGCTCTGGCAGGGGAGTTGGACTAGATGCTTTCCAGAGGTCCCTTCCAACTCTAACCATTCTGTGATTCTGTGATTCACCTGAAGGCAGTTGTAACGAGGTGGGGGTTGCTCTCTTCTCCCAGGTAGCAAGCAACAGGACAAGAAGAAATGGCTTCAAGTTGCACCAGGGGAGCTTATATTGGATATTAGGGGAAATTTCTTCACTGAAAGGATTGTCAAGCATTGGAGCAGGCTGCCCAGAGAAGTGGTGGAGTCACCATCCCTGGAGGTATTTAAAAGACATGTACATGAGTTGCTGAGGGACATGGTTTAGTGGTGGACTTGGCAGTTAGGTTAATGATTGCACTTCATGACCTTCAAGGCCTTTTTTAACTAAATTGATTCTATGATTGCTAGATTTACTACTCACAAACCAAGAAGACTTACTTGACAACATAACTAACTACTAATGGTAGCCTTAGATATAGTGATCATAATATTTTGGAGTTTAAGGTACTGCTGAGCACACTCAAGACTGGTAGTAGGACAAAGACCCTAGATATTAGAAGAGCCGATTTCAATATGCTCAGAGGTCAGCTGCAAAGGTTTCCATGGGAAGCATCCATGGAGGGCAAAGAAGCTTGTGAGTGGTGGGAAGAAAGCTCTGGAACATCCTCCTGAAGTACAAGAAGAGCCTGTCCCCTACAAAGGGAAATGAAGCAGGCAGAACAAGAGACCAGTTGTCTTAACAATGAGCTTTTGCTTAAAAGAAAAATAAACCACGCATACCGGCTGTGGAAAGGCACCTAAATACCCACCAATGAGGGCAAGAATCTTGCTAGGGCATGCAAAGATGCAGTCAGAAAGGCTAAGTCTGAGCTAGAACTGAAAATGGCCAGAAAAGTCAAGAACAACAAGAAACAGTTCTTCAGACACATGAGCAGTAAGCAGAAGCATGGGGAAAACACGGGCTATTTGCTAAACAACACAGGGAAACTAGTCACTAATAAAGCTGACGGGGCAGAGGATCTCAATGTCTTCTTTGCATCTGTCTTTACTAGTGCAGCTGGACCCCAGGTCAAAGGACCAAGTAGCTACAACACGTGCCAACTCACCAGTAATGGAGGAAGGTCTGGTCTAGGGCCTCTTGTAGGGGTTCAGCCCACAGAAATCTATGGGACCAGGTAGAATCCACCACAATGTGTTAAGAGAAGTGGCTGACATTGTTTCAAGGACACTGTCCATAATATTTGAGAAGCCATAGAGATCAGGGGATATCCTTGATGACTGGAGGAGGGCAAATGTCATACCCATCTACAAATGCCCAAAAGAAGTTCAGCTCTGCTCTGCTTTGCTCTATTTTGCTCTGCTCTGCTCTATTGTGTTCTGTTCTGTTCTGTTCTGTTCTATTCTATTCCATTCCATTCCATTCCATTCCATTCCATTCTACTCCCAGTGAACTGCAGGCCCACTAGTCTCACTTCAGTCCCTGGGAAAATAATGGAATCACACCTCCTAGAAACTATTACAAACCAAACGAAGCAGGTGATTGGGAAAAGTCAACAAGGATTTACAACAGGCAAATCATGCCAGCCTAACCTGATCATCTTCTACAACAAAATAACATTTTCTGTTGACACGGAAAGAGCAGTGGATACTGTTTACATGGACTTCAGCAAAGCATTTGACACTGTTTCCCACAGCCTTCTCAGGCAAACTTGCAAAATACAGATTGAGTGGGTGGTCTGCAAGATGAGTAGGAAATTGGCTAACAGGCCACACTCAGAGGATGGGAGATGATGAATTACAGTGAAGGATTAGAATAGCAGTTACTCCCACAAGGAAATAGGATGGGGGTGGTGGGTGGGGGAGGTTAAATATTAAAAGTCTTACCTCCCCATTCAAGAAACAATAGAGAACAGCAACAACAAAACCCTAGGCAAATGGGAGAGAAAAAAATAATGTAATTCAAATCCTTTAGTAAATGCTAGAAAATAACTGGAGTTAAAACCAACAAACAAACAAACAAACCAACCCAAAATCCTAGTACACAAAACATATACATAAATGAATAAACACACAGTCTGAGAACTGTGCATGCAAAGTGGTTATAATGAATAAAGATTTCTTTTTAACAAAAGCAGAATACACTGTATAATCACCTGGAAAGATCCCAGTCCCAATTCAAACACTAGTCTCTCCCGCTTACTGACATTTTCAGGAGAAAAAGCAAACACCGTGTAGTGAATTCCAAACAAGGGGATAAGCAGTAGTGTAGAGCGAGCCAGTCTCCTGTTATAATAGAATGAAAGAACTTTAATGCAGCCTTGTAATAAACAACTTGTGCTTTAATTAAAGAAGAAAACACAGAAAATATTTTGTTGCCTGCCTTTTGGGAAATACATACACTGTATAATTATACAAACAAAAATACAACATTCCCGTTTGTTCCCAAACAGTGATTTCACACACACTGTAGTTTGCTCCCACTTCTTCACACTGCTACAATAATAGCACATTAGTAATGCTTAATTCTCTGTACTGTTATTTTAATGTGCATTATTATAAGCAGGAATTTTTTCACCGTGCCAAACTCAAGGAGGGTAATCTTGCTAAGGGATTCAGACTGCTACCATAGCACAGTAATAAACCTCTCACCCAATTGCTTAATCCCAGAGGAGTGTTTGAAATCACTTTTTTTTTTTTTTTGTGTGCGCATGTGTGTGTGAATTTATTTCTGCATAGCAAAAAATTCCAAAACAGCAATATAAATAAAACTAAAACACCCTTGTATGTTCTTATAACTGTTCCTCAAGGTCTTGATTTCAGTCTCATTTATACTGTTGGAAACCTAAGTGTAATTCCATTGTGTAACTAATTTCCATTGCATCGGAATAAACACAGCAGGTATAAACAGAAGGACTGGAAATGAACGTGTGTACTTGTAAGCACTTAACTGAGTATGGACGAAATTCCCAGAAGCAGGGGTCCAGCCTTATGCATCAGTTTTGGCCAGTGTCATTTGCTGATTGAGAAGCAAAAAAGACCCAAGAGAAAGCAAATGCTGATCTGAAAGTAAGGCAAGTTCTTTGTTATAAATGGAGTGGCCTAAAGTAAACTCCAGAACATTCTCAAAGGGGAAAAATGTAATTGATTTCCTTCAAGTAAGTTAAGGATGTAGATGGAGGACAAAAGAAGCTAAAAAGCTATAAAGATTTTTGAAACAGCTGCATGCTTTTTCAAATTCAGATGTTCACTCTGCTTATATCTATACGGTACATTGCAGACACCTTTGAATTTGTAACATATGCTCAAAAATATCTCCAAAAGGATGTGTTTGTCTTACTGAAAGTGAAGACTTAGTTAATACATCTCCAAGAACACTGTGAACATATGCTGTTCTAGCCAATACTAAACTGGAAATGGGACATCTGTTCATTGACGGTGTCCCTCAGCCATACTTTGTGCACTAATGGTGATAAATACATCACAGCTGTTGCCTTGAGATTGTACTAAACGTACATAATTCTTTAGTCTGATGCACACCAAATCTCAAGTTTGGTGAAAGACCCCACAAACCAGAGAACACAGTTCTTCTCAATAACAAAGTTAGGCGCTGACCAGACGTTTTTTAACAAGAGAGGAATAATTTTGGAGCAGGCTGATGAAGAGTATACAGAGTTTCCAACTTTGGTGATCTCTAGGAAAAGCAAGTTGTACAGGAGTGACCCAGTGTAACGGACTGAAAGACCTTTCAAGGTCCCTTCTAGTCCTTCTTCTCTATAGATGTGTAATCAAATTAATGAAAAGGAACAGAAACAGTGTGGAAAAGATGGTCAAATAATACTGTCTCCATAAACAAAAAAGGATGTAAAGAACATAAGTGTCTTAAACTAGCCATGGAATTTAAAAAAAAAAAAATAATCAAATTAAGGTAGGTTTACAAGGTAGGACAAAGAAGGATAATCTCGATAATCTCTCAAAGTATGTTACCCTTTATATTCAGAATTAATGACAACAACAACAACAAAAGAATAAGTGTTATTTTGATTTAAAAGTCAGAATGGAATTGTCTATTAGTATGTTGTATTAATATGTTGTATCTCACCACAGCCACAGGAGATTAATTTTGGAGATGAAGATGAAGACTTTTCCTATTGTCAGTTTTCTGGCATTAATTATGTCTGATTAATCATACAATTAGTTTGTAGGATCTTGAAATATAATGTCATCATCAAATTATTTGAGATACTGTCTTCAATATTGTCATAAATGTCAGGAAGAAAGTACATGAAATGTAAGAGGAAACACTTTCTGCAGTTTATAGTTGATTAAGATCTAAAAAGATGAAAAGAAGATTTTAATGATAAGAAAAACTTGAGAGATACTAATGACTGTGTGGATGATGATGAATTGTGTTTTTTCAAGAGCATTAGGAAGAAAGAAGACTGAAAGCAGTACCTGTGAGACATGTAAGTTTATGTGCAATGGTGAAATGAAGTTGTTAAAGAATACAACGATATTCTCAGGAGTGTAACAGCCGAAGATATTCATCCCCTTTTCTTCCCACGCTCTTTCAGACAAGCAAGAAACCCAGGGAATGTGTCCAAATGTTTTGAGGACAATAATCACTCAGTTGGGCTTAAACTGGCTGTTTAGAAGAGAGATGTTCTCCAAAAGGTCTAGAAAAAAGCCTTGTTTATATTCCAACAGGTAGAATGTCTTAAAGTTACTTTAAAAAAAAAAAAAAAAAAGCAAGCTGTTTTTAGATTTTTCTTGAAGCTGACATTCTATTAAACTGGCTGTTTAGAAGAGAGATGTTCTCCAAAAGGTCTAGAAAAAAGCCTTGTTTATATTCCAACAGGTAGAATGTCTTAAAGTTACTTTAAAAAAAAAAAAAAAAAAAGCAAGCTGTTTTTAGATTTTTCTTGAAGCTGACATTCTATTTTTCAGCTGCTATTTTCCTTAAAAAACAGTTTAAACAGTTTCTCCCATAGCATGGCTATGAATGTGTCCTTTCCATAAAGTGTTAGTACAAAAAGACACAAATAATGGCGTCCTCTGTTCTTTCTTACTCCTCTGTTGAATTATGGGAAGACATCTTTATAGTAAAAGGAATAGAAAGTAGAAAAGTTGTCCAACTTTGACCAGTCTCTGAAGGAATGGTGTTTTTGTTTTTCAACTGCATATCCACAATTATTAAGCAGACTGATGAAGTGTCTATGGATGTCACATAGGACATAACTGCCAATGAATTGGAAATGAAAATACACATCCCGTTGCATTGTTGAGTAGAATTTCCAGTGATTTCTACTGAATGTTCCAGTGTGTTCCTATTCCTCATTTCAAAACGGGATTCTAGAAGATAAATTAATGCCATGATCTAAACAAACACAGTAACTCCACTTCAGATAAAACAAACAAACAAACAATATTTTGAGCAACTGTGCAAGAGGGAACAAAGACCAATGGCTTCTAAATGGTCCAAATAGGTTCTTCCAGTTTCTGTGAACAGGAAAGACATATCTCTAGACTCAGAACCTGCAGATTCAACTGTAGGAACTGCTGAACTGCTGAGCTGGATATGTGGTGATGTCATTTCGAATGAGTCAAGGAGGCCATCAGAAAACACAGATCCTCTACAACAGGGGACCTGAAGCTCCAGGAGCAATTGTGTAAGGAGATTTGTGGTTGTCAATCTCTTTTCTGTCTCTGAGAGAGTGGTGAAAACTGTAGCTTAGACCTTACTCTTCCATCAGTTCCTGGTATCACCAGTGCACTGTCTTGTGCCATTTCTGCTGGGACTGTAGCTGCTTCTGTTGGACTAATTGTAAAGTCGTGCAGCTCAAAAAGCCATTGTAACTTACATAAGAATTGACAGATGACACTGTGTACTATTAAGGTAAGGATAACATACAGAATAACTTTTACTCTGGCAAAGAGTTTCTTGCCTTGGTCTTAGAGGTTCTCACCACCCAACTTTTTTGAGACAAAATATGACCATCTCTCAAAAGAAGAAAAATATCTGCAAAGCCATTGCCTTTGAAGGAAGACTATGTAGTTGTTTGGCTATTTCAGCCTGCTTCTTCAAAGTAAGAGAATTGTTTGGTTTAAAGGCTGAGTCTTACGTGAAGTTAATTTGATCAACTATAAAGTTTTGCAGTGAATCCACCAAGGTCTGTGGTAGTCATGCAGAACAATACTCATCTCACCGAGGTTTGGACATACATACTGTAGATATCTATACTGAAATTATTAACATAATGTCTCTAAAGCCAACAGAGAGAAAAAGGCACTTTTAAGGCATAGTTCTTGCCTTCTCTAGGTGTCTCTTTAAGAGGAGCTGACTCCTGTTGTAAACCCCGTGGGAATATGCTGAATGCATCTATTGATGTATATAGTGACTAGGTTAAAGTTATCCCATAGCTGCAATGATGACATCTATTTTTAGCTACATTAATTCTCTTTATCCTCAACGAAGAGAAACAGGCAGTTATGAGCAAGGACGAATCATCTGTCTCTAAGGAAGGCCTTATCACACCCTAAGTATCTCCATTGACTACAAAGGGAATCTGGACTGATTTTTTCATGTAAATTGCCTGGACTGTTGCCTTGTAAAGTTTAGATTAGAGGAATCTCATCTCTTTGGCTGGAACTCAGTGATGAATATGTATAAAAAACAATCATGATAATATTTCAAATAGAAGGATAAAGAGCAAACCGTGAAGATATAAGAAGTCATTAGTAATGAAGCACTTAATATAGCTCGTGTTTAATAAACCAAAGTATTTTATCAAAAGGATGCTAAACATAGTTAACATGTGACTTTCCGGAACCTCAGTAACCTCCCTGACACATACATGTCTTTTCCAAAAGCTTAATTATGTCTGTAGGATCACTTTCAAAGACCTAAACACAGGAATCGGTTACAGCTTTTTAATTTTCCCATGCATAAATCACATCTTCAGATTAAGGACTTAAAAAACAGTAGAAGTTTACTGAGACTTTCATATTTTAACACAAAAAGTAAGGTTTAATTATGTTTACTGGAAGCGTACAGAGCTTTTTTGGACTCCTGTTCAGGCTGAAGTCTTGCCGTTGACTAGGTAGAGGATTTCACCTCAGTTGTCAGTCTGCCATCTTTCTGAAGCATTGCACTTACTTAATGTAAAATTTGTTTCTCTGCAGAGGCCCAACACGAAGTCTATGCTGCAGCAAGTTTTAGATTAAGTAGTGAATGTTGTATTTCAAACTAGCTCCTCTTAAATGTAGGACCTAGTTTTACCTAACTG